TTTGATAATATTCGATTCATTTTTGACTTCTAATTGCTTCCGATTGACCATTAGCACTCTCGAACCTTCATCGTGAGCCCCAACATAATTTTTGAGTATTTGTACTTTAGTCATTGAACTTTCACTTTATTCAATTTTGGTCATTTTTCACTTGTTTCTTCTTATTTCCAATACATTCATCACCTGTCCTGCAAAACATAAATTACATAGAATTAAATTATATTCAAACATATTAATCAACAATTGCTCTTATTTTGATAGTAAAATAAGTATGTAAAAACGCACTTATCACCATAACATCAAAGAGATGAACATGTTGATCTATCTCTATACCATAATATTACTATTATTTTGTCCCGAACTATTATTTTGATCTTATTCAAATCAGACCCAATTTTCACAATCTTCATTATTTTGCCCAATGTATTCATGTTTTATCCACAAGAAAATGTCATTTTTTAGTAATTAATATTCATTTTCATACTCTCTTACATGCTAGACGCAATGGAATGGGTAATCAAAAACATGTTATAGCCTCGGTTTTTTCAAAAGAGTCGACTTATTTTAACATTATAGAGGCTCAATGTTATAAATAGTGGTGGATCCAGAATTTTGAATGAACACATGCAACCATTGACTATCAGGCGCAATAAAATACTAAAAATTAAATATAACAAATATTTTGCTAAAATTAAACATATATAATTCTGTTATATATATGAACAATATTCACCAAATGACATAGTGACCAATTTTTGTATAATTCAAAGGAATAGCACATGTTTTAATCTTTTTAATTGCATTAAAACCGTTAGAACTGAACATATATTATTTTGTAAAATGATCAAGTTTTCAATAATCTTAATGAGGGCTCACATATTTGAATCCCCTCTCTATTGCATTTGTTTTGGTTAAAAAATGTAGAGCTATCAAAATTGCACAATAAATTGATTGGGAAGAATTCGATCACAAGACTTCCAATTTGGGTGAGGAGACTCTAACCAACTTAGCTATAAAATATATTTGAAGACAAAATGAATTATCAGATATATAAGCTAAAAAGTTATATATTCTCAACAAAAAAAATAAAAAAAAAATTGTTCCGACATATTCAGCATGTGCTGATGTCGGTGCTCGTCGGGTGCTAATCCGTCGCTGGCTATAAGAAAATGGATCAAATGAAATCAAACATGACATAAACTAACTGTTATTGAATTTCAATTTGTTAATGATTAATCATCAAACTTCTAGAAGTCGTTTCTAATCGATCATTTTTATGATAACCCTAAAATTTTGCTTACGTTTCTTATAAAACAGTGTTGAGTCAGGATATACATGAT